GTCCAATCAGGACCCGAGAAGGATGCTCACTTGAGCCCTCTGATTCTCTTAGAAACCATCGCGCTTGCCTTTCCAATTCTCTGGTTAACAGCGTGGCTTCTGTGGCCTCCCTTGGACATCCACCTCCTGCAATTATGTCTCTATCTGGAACCAAGCAGCATCAGGACAAAAGAGAACAGCAGTGGAGACGTGGGCTTCCTCTGGGGACTGGACAGGACTGTACTGAACTGCCTGGGGGCAGAAGCGTTTTCTTCTCGGAAGGTCTCTACGTGGTCCCTCTTCAGTCCTTTACTACAGCCACTGCTGACGGATCACCTGGGCTGCAGCCGTGGAGAGTCAAGACAGAAAGAAAGAAAAGCAGAGAATCCTCAGGCACCGTCCTTTGGACCCTGGGACTGGACAGAGAGGGCAGGCGCTCTTCTGAGAGTGAAGCTGCCTTGGAGGCCTGTCTCCGTGGTCCTCTCCTGTGCCCTTCACTGCTCAGAGCCTCCTGATAACCACTCAGCAGGTTCTGTCCAGGTCTGTGTTTGTGTCCAGTGGGAGGAACCGGTGGAACGTGTGCTCTTGGTCTTGCCTGGAATTGGAATTCTTGATGTTTTTCTTACCAACAAGTATCTAGAATTTTCTGGAGGGGGTCTACACTGTGGTGTGGGTGTGGGTGGTTCCCACCCAAATGCTGGTTGTGGTGTAGAGGCAGGGGGACCTTCAAGAGATAACCAGGTCATGGGAGCAACCCATCGTGCACGCACGGCTCGATGTCTTTCTGGAGACTCAGGGAGGTGTCACAGGAGTGGTCTGGCTCTCCTGAAACTGGGCTGACACATTTGCAGAGTGAGCTGACACATTTGCAGAGGTAACTGTGCTCCTGCCTGCCTTCCCACCCTGGGATGCCATCACCATGAGACCCTCACCAGAAGCCAAAGAGGATCCATGCTTTTGGACCTCCAGAAACTATGAGCCAAGCAAACCTCTTTTCTTGATAAATCTTCCAGCCTGAGGCATTTTGTTAGAGCCACATAAAACTGTCTATGACAGTCTGTCTCAGAGAAGTAGAGACAATTTGACAAACATTGGGGTCTCTGGGGAATCAGCTCTGAGACAGGGATCAGCCCTTATGCAGTGACAAGGTGACTCTCTTGACCTTAAATAGTATTCAGAATACCCAGAGGAGAATAGAATTCATCACAGGTGATACAGTGTTCTCTGTGTGTGCTAGAAGGAAACTCACTTGTTCAGAGTTCAATGGGTCCTTTCTGAGAAAAACAGTAAACACCAGATATTTTCAACCTACTAACTCCTAAAATGATTTAGTCCTGTCTCAGCCTCACTTGAAGTCAGCTGCAATCAGCAATATCAGCGTGTACCCAAAGGGCCAGATTTGTTAAGGCCCAAGGTCGGCCACAGCCATAGAGCATTGGTTACTTCCTCTAGACAAGGCCTGGAGAGAGCTGCCTGGGTCAGTCCCCACCGTAAACCATGGGCTCAGGACAGAGGCGAGAAGTCTTCACGTCTGTGGAACTTCCCCCACTTCCCACCTACGAGTTGGTTCCCGGCTTCACTCTGTCCACTGCACAAATCCTGTACCTCGAAGCTCTGTGAATTCAGATAGGAGGTTTGTTCAAAAACCAATAAACAATATCTTTTTTCCCCCTCCAAATTTTGGAACAAATTAAGAATAAAATTAAAAACTCAGGCAGCTGGAGACCCAAGTATTTTTCTTTATTACTGATACGACTCTTGGAATAACTGGCTTTGGGTCTGAAGCTAAGTGGCATGGCTAACATCTCACCCTGAACCGGACAGACCCACCCAACAACCCAGGGGCAGACACGGGTGGGCAAGTATGGCCCTCCCTCTCTCCCTGCTCACAGAGGCAGGAGGCCAAGGGGTAGAGTTTGCGAGGACTTCGATGCCAAAGAAGAAGATGAAAGAATCCGGCCAGCCGTGCCCAAATTCAACTTCCAAACTCATCCATCGGCTCAGTCTTGCCTCTTGTCTTGGTGAGGAGCGAGGGAGGGCCACTAGGAAGAGAAGACACGTAACAGAGGGGCCAAGACACTAAGCCAATGGCAGCCTTTGTCATGTGAATAGGACAAGCAAGGATCGTGCCCTTTCTCGACCCTCCTGTGTCCTGCCTGGGCCTCCAGGAGCAGGGAGCTAGTTCTCACACACTCTCTTTGGCCTTCTTAAGGAGAAGGGGGACACTGTCTCCTCCTCAGACTCACAGTGGGAAGCATTTAGAAGGCAGAGGGCAGAAACTAAACAAGACAGCTCAAAACTTCAAAAAACAAAAGTCAGATGTCTCTTCCCAGGAGAAGGGGAGAGGTTTCCAGCGCTGGTCACTTCAGGTCCGGGCTGTTCCTGAAGCCCTCTCTGCACCGCCCCATCTCCTTCTGCTCCAAGCAGTTGCTGACCCTCTGTGAGCCAAGGGCAGCAGTGAGAATCCTGGAGCTTGTTCCAACAGAAAAGAACAAAGCCCGGGACACACTCACCCTGAGGGGTAATAATGTCACAGGGTCTCTAACATTCAGGTTCAGGAAGAGGGACAAAACTTTTCCACATTTTCCCTCCGTTCTCTGCCCGGAGCCCAGGGACAACATGGGAACACCTGCAGGATGGCCCCTTTGGTCCCTTCATTGCTCTGAATAATTGTTCTGCTCTCTGCAGCATTCCCCAGATAGGACTCGCTCGGGGTTTAAAACTTCATTTAATTTCCTCTTTTAAGTCTCATGACCCAGCTCACTGCAGTTTTGTGCCTTGTCGGGAGAGAGCCAAGGATGCAGAGCAGGATCTCAGAACAAAATCCTCCAGTGCTTTTGCTGCTGAGATGATGGGATGAAAAGAGAATCAAATTCACATCCCTTTGGTCTGAGAAAACCGTGAAAGGCTCTCCTTCCGAGTCAAGCTTGGACCAGAGAGTGTCCAGCACACAGTGACACCCAGCAGGATTCAGAAGGCAGCTGGGCTTTCTCTGAAGGGCCCAGGAGCACCCGAAGGTCCTCGATGGGACTGGTTACAATGCCATCGCATTGCTCAGCCCCTCCCCAGACCAGCGGCCCCTGCATCGCCTTCCCCAGGGGGTGACAGAGCAGGTCGGGAAACCAAGGCTGCAGGGTCAACCTAAGGTGGGCACAGCCATTTCCTGCTAAAGACAATCATCAAAAAAAAAAAAAAATTAGGCAACAACAGTTTTTATGAAGTGCCAGAGAACAACAGCGTAGTAAAGAGTTTCCTGGTTGTCTTGGCTAATTTGGACTCCAGTGACAAATTACCAGGCTGGTGGCTTAATTAACAAGTTTTCTCACAGCTCTGGAGGCTGAGACGTTCAGGACCAGGGCACTGCAGGTGCAGGTCTGGTGAGGGCACTCTTCCTGGTGTGTGAGGATCTTCTTGTGGCAGCCAGTAGCCAGGGACAGGTCTCATGTCCCCCACTCTTCCTAGAAGGGCACTGATCCCACCATAAAGACCCCACCCTCATGACCTAATCTAACTGTCTCCCAAGCCCTTGTCTCCATGTACCATCATGTTTGAGGGTCCAGATGTTAACACATGAGATGAATTTTGAGGGACACAAATATTCAGTCCATTACAACCCAACCCAGCGCCCCCATGTCCTTTCTGCATGTAAAGTACATTTCTTCCGTCCCAGCCACCCTGAATTTCTTAAATCATTCCAGCTTCAATTTTAAACTCCAATTCCAAGCATGTTGTCTAAATCAGCGATGGGTGAGACTCAGAGAATAACTCATCCTGATCAGATTCCTTCCCACCTTCCACCCTGTGAAACCAAACCACCTCAGTGCTTCCAAAACACAACAGTGCGACAGGGTGGGGTGCGGGCTTATGGTCTCGGCTCCCAGGGGAAGAACAGCATTTGAGACCACCCTGGGCAACACAGCGAGACCCACCTCAAAAAGGGGACAGAGAGTGTGAGTGTAGCTCCGTGGTAGGATACTTGTCTTGCATGCATGAGGCCCTGGGTTCAATGCCCAGCACCACACACACAAGCAAAAGTACAACAGCAGAGCTGAGTGTAGTGGCGCACACCTGTAATCCCAGCGGCTCAGGAGGCTGAGACAGGAGGATAATCAGCCTCAGCAACTTAGGAGGTGCTAACCAACTCAGTGAGACACTGTCTCTAAATAAAATA